GACCCCCCAGAAGCGCCTGGCTGGCAGCGGCGCGTGGGGAAGTGGAGGCCGGGGGTGGAACTCAGTCCAGCAACTGAGGGAACAGGGAGTGACCCCGAGGGAAAGACCTACTCGTGTCCGAGGCGCGGCTTTCTTAGCCCAGCGACGGGTCTTGGGCAGGAGATGCCAGAGGGGGGTGGGGGAACGTGAACTGGTGAGTTGACCTCGGGGAATTGGCTCCAAGGGAGTGGCGGCCGCAGCAGCTGGCTTAGTAGAGCCCCAGGCCCTGGAGCGGGGCAGACCCACCCTGCTCACTCCCAGGTCCCTGCGCCCCAAGGTCTGAGGTGCTGACACTCTTGGCTGACCATGGTTTCAGCTAGAGGCCCGCGTACGTCCTTCCCAATGTGGTCAGGAGTCCACTGGGGGTCTAGAGCTGTCCTGGAAGGTGGGGGAGGAAGGGCCAAATCCCAGCCCTACGCTGTGGGCCAGAGGGCAGAGTTCCCCTGTGCCCACCCCGCCCCCTGGGGTTGGGTGACTCGGGCTCTGAGGCGGGCGCTCTGTTTGCCTGGTCCTGTCCTCTCGGGCCTCTCCGCCTGGCAGGGTGAAGACCACTTTCCCTCTGTGCATCTGGGCCGTCAGGGAGGCCTGGTGTGGAGGCTGGTTGAAGGGCTGTCCTTGCCTTTTTTGGGGAGAACCTAGAGGCTGGGATGGTGAGAGGAGATGGGACATAGTCACGGGAGACCATAACTCCTAACGGAGCGGGGGGTGGGGCGTGGGAGCCTTGCTCTGGGCATCTGAAGGAATGAGCTTATTCTATGGACCAATGAGTAGGAGGAAGAGACTGTTTGGGGCTCAGTGTTAGAAGGCTCTTCCGGCAGAGGAGACATCCTAAGACCGAACCCCGGAGGAGGTGAGCAGGGGCCAGCGGCCTCTGGGGAGGGGCACAGCGAAACCTCTGAGGCTTCTCAGAAACAAATAGCCCCGAGCAGCCGCATAACCCTGTGAATCTCTGGATGGCCTGAGAGCCTGTGCAGGCTTGAAGTCCCTGCTGCCCTGGGGTGGGGCCCTGGGGCAGAGGCGTGGTTGGGATCCCCCTTCCCACCTCTCCCTGGCAGAAGCTGCTAAGGAAATCCTGGGCTGGAATGGAAGATGATCCTTGGTGATTGAGACTGTGTAGTCCACGTAGCCATCAGTGCTTGGCCCCCTCAGCAGCCACCTCACCAGGTCTTGGGGTTACCGGGCAACATCACCTAGAGCTTAGGAAGGTGGGCACTGAAGTTGGACTGCCCCACTTGGCCGTCCTGTGTCCTATTCCAGCGCTGCTGCTGAGTCGTGGGTGACCACTGACAAGTCACCTACCCTCTCTGTGCCCCCATCAGTGTCTCCCCTCACGATGGGGATCCTAATAGCACCTCTCTCGCTGGGCGACTGTAAAGGTTACATGAAAATGATGCCTGTGAAGTATTTGCAGGAGTTCCTGGCATCTGCTAAGCCATCAGTAAATAACTCGTTATCCCAGCACTGCACATTAGAGTAGGGACTCATTCATTCATTCAACAAATATTTACTAAGTCCTACTTGGTACCAAGCACTATGCTAATACTGGGAATACAGAAATAAACAACATAGACGGGGTCTCAGCCCTCACGGGCAGACAGTCTGCAGGGAGAGAGCCCCACAGGGGAAAGGAAACTCATTGGAATAACAAGGGGGCTGGTTTAGGTCCCTTGGTCTGGGAAGGCTTCTGGGGAAGGTAGCTTGTGAGCGGAAGGAGGAGAGGGGGGCAGAGTTTGGGCAGAAGGCCCTGAGTTGAATGGGCTCAGCTCAGCTGCCTTCAAGGAATGAAAGGAGGGTGTGGTAGGCTCCCTGGAAGAAGGCTCAGGAGTTAGTCCAGGACGCACCCCAGAGACCACAGTGAGGGCTGAGGGATTTAGTCTAAGTGCAGTGGGAAAGCCCAGAAGGGGGCTGCGCAGCGATGGGATCTGATGTGCACTCAGGATGCACACTCTGCCGTCTGTGGCGGGGGCTGGCGTGGAGACCAGGATGATCATTAACATCCAGAGAGCCAGTTTATCGAAGCTTCCACACGCACTGCCTCGCCGCTCCTTCTAAATGCAGCCTGAGCAGTCCCAGGGAGGTGGGGTGTGGGGCAAGCGGTGCTGCTCTCTCTGTTTTCCCGGGCTCAGAGGATCCCGGGGAGTTGCAGAGCCCGGAGGTGGCAGAGGACTTCAAATGCCTTCGCAGGGGGGAGGGGGGGCGGGGTTTAGAGGCCAGAAGGCATCCAGGTCAGAGGGACAGTCCCCACCCTCCGTAATCAGAGGGGACCCTGCCCTCAGGGACTCTGACCTCAAGGACTCCTGGGGACAGCTCCTCTAGCAGCCCTGCAGCTGCCCATCTGCACATGCCTGGAAGGGGGCAGGGCCAGGGGCTGGCTGTCCACCAAGGACCCTCTTCTCCCCCATTCCTCACTGCTGCCTCCTGGCCCCCCAGCCTCCTCAGGGATTGCCCTTCTCCGTGGCAGCCTGCTCCCTGCTGCAGTGCAGGGCACCAGCATGCCCATCTCCTCCCACATCCTGCCTCCCACCACAGCCGGCCTGGCCCTGTGCCCTGGACCCTGCCCTCCTGACCAGCTTTCTGACTCGCTGAGACTGGCCCCCACCCTGAGAGCAGCCCACAGCTCCTCTGCCATCTCTGCCCACCTGAGCTTGAGGGTATCTTTGTCCATTGTGTGGCCAGATCAGACGTCGCCAGGTTGACACTCAGCTCAGGGGAGCTGCATTCACCTTTCCTGGGGACTGCCCAGTTCAAGGTGTCCTCTCCTACGTGGGCACAGAACGGGGTCTGCTGCCTCCTCCCCGCCCTGCCCTCCCTCTTGCAGATGCCCCTTCTCAGATGGGAATAAACACTCCCGGCTCTCATGAGATGAGCGGGCTGGCTGGGTGCGGGGCATAAAGGGCATGAGTGCTAGGGTGGAGGCGTGGGGCTCTGGCCCTAAGGTGGCCGTCAGCCTGACATGTGAGGTGCCGTGCTCCACGCTCCAACAGGGAAGAGGAAGAAGGTCTTAGGGAGGTGAGGGGCAGAGAAAAACCAACACAACAGCGTCCAAAGGGTCTGCGGGCCTTGGGCCCTCTCTTGACATCACATTGGACTAGGTCCGTGGTCGGCAGACTGCGGCTCTTTGGCCCCTTGAGTGTGGCTCTTCCTAAGCCTTAGGAGTACCCTAATTAAGTTAACAACAATGTACCTACCTATATAGTTTAAGTTTAAAAAATTTGGCTCTCAAAAGAAATTTCAATCGTTGTACTGTTGATATTTGGCTCTGTTGACTAATGAGTTTGCTGACCACTGGTAGGTTCTCCTCCCCTTCCAGCAATAATAATTATCAAGTTCTAGCCTCTGCCAGGAGCTTTACATTCTTCCGTTTCACTCATTCATTCGACAAATATTTGCTGAGTGTGCACCACGGCGGGACATTCTGGGCTCTCAGGATACATCAGTGAGCAGAGCAGGCCCTGTCCTCCTGAAGCTGTCATTCTTGGAAGGGGAGGGGCACAGAATAACAATATAAATACGTGGTGGGAGGAGAGAAGGCAGCAAGTGCTAATGGGAAAATAAAGCAGAGATGAGGGCGGGCTGGAGTTTTAGATACAGTGTTACCATGGGCCATACTGAGAAGATGCCACCTGAGCCAAGAATTGAAGGAGGCAGCAGAGGAGAGTGACTGTCCCAGTGACCTGTGCCTGCCTGTCTTTTACAGAAAGGAAGACAGAGGAAGCCACGGCCCCTGGACCCCGGCGAGGGCTCCAAGGACACAGACAGCTCGGCGGGGCGGCGGGGCAGCGCCGGCAGAAGGCATGGGCGCTGGCGGGGCCGTGCCGAGAGCCCAGGTGTGCCCGTGGCCAAAGTGGTGCGGGCAGTTACCAGCCGGCACAGAGCTAGCCGGAGGGTCCCTCCCGCCCCACCCCCAGAGGCCCCTGGCCGCCAGAACCTGAGTGGGGCAGCAGCCGGGGAGGCGCTGGTCGGGGCAGCTGGCTTCCCCCCACATGGAGACACAGGGAGTGTGGAGGGCGCCCCCCAGCCCACGGACAATGGCTTCACCCCGAAGTGCGAGATTTTGGGCAAGGACGCGCTGTCCGCACTGGCCCGGGCCAGCTCCAAGCAGTGCCAGCAAGAGATCGCCAATGTGGTGTGCCAGCACCAGGCCGGGAGCCTCATGCCCAAGGTTGTGCCCCGGCACTGCCAACTGGCTGGTAAGGGACAGGCCTGGGTGGAGAGGTGGTAGCCCCGGGAGGTGACATGGCAGGGACCCCACCCCCACGTCTCAGAGGAGACAGCTCAGAGGGGCGCACCTCCTTGCCTGGCTGGTGACGAGCACGCCAAGTGGCAGAGGGGGCCCTGGCCCAGGAGCGTTGGGCTCCACGTCCAGGATTCTTCCTCGGACGGCAGGCGGCTCCCTCTTCCCATCTGGCCTCCACCCTGCGACAGGCAGGGCCTCACTGATGCCCTGCTCTCCTCACAGGGAAGGTGAACCCCGGCCTCCAATGGGAGGAGACCCGGGCCCAGCAGCCCGTGGAGGGCCCCCCGGTACGAATCGCCTACATGCTGGTGGTGCACGGCCGCGCCATCCGCCAGCTGAAGCGTCTCCTCAAGGCCGTCTACCACGAGCAGCACTTCTTTTATATCCACGTGGACAAGGTACCGTGGGGAGACCCAGGGGTTCTGGGTGAGCAGAGCGGAAACCAGGAAGGTCACAGACACACAGGGTTTCTGACAGGGTTTCTCCCCAGAGTTAGGGGAACAGGCCTTGAATAGGATGCAGCCAGCACCAGGTGACATGTGCTCTCCATTGCCAGTTGTACTCTGTCCCGGGTTGGGGTCGGGTGGGTGGGGAGGTCGTAATGCTGAGGGCCCACCTACAGCTGCTAAGAATCTTCCCCTCTCCCCCCCTTAGCGCTCCAACTACCTGCACCGGGAGGTGGTGGAGCTGGCCCGGCGGTATGATAATATCCGCGTGACGCCCTGGCGCATGGTCACCATCTGGGGCGGGGCCAGCCTGCTGAGGATGTATCTGCGGAGCATGCAGGACCTGCTGGAGGTGCCTGGCTGGGCCTGGGACTTCTTCATCAACCTCAGTGCCACCGACTACCCAACCAGGTGGGGGGTGCTCTGGACCTCCCGATGGGAGGGGGCACATGTGGGCACTGGGGTTGGAGGGCCCTGGTAGACCCCTTCCCCTCCCCAGGCCTCATTCTGGGATCCACGCAGCCCAGACTCCTTCTCCTCTCTTGGCCCCAGCCATGTTTTAGGGGAGGGGTTAGTGAATGATGATGTCAGGATTGAGAGTGACAAGAGATGGGGAAGAGGAGGAGCCAGAGGTGTGTACGGGGGGTGCTGGGTTAGACAGCAAGGGGTACAGGAAGGATGGGGTGGTCTTTCTCCGGGCCTCAGGTACCCATTACCCTGGGGTAGGGCACATGGCCTGGAGGCCAAGAGGTGAAGGTGACGAGGGCTGGAGAGAGTCCACTCTGGGCCAGTGACTGAGCAACCCCTCACACGCTGCCCACACCCATTCCCTCTCCAGGACCAACGAGGAGCTGGTGGCTTTCCTGTCCAAGAACCGGGACAAGAATTTCCTCAAGTCACATGGCAGGGACAACTCCAGGTGAGGGGCTGGGGGAGGGGGCCCTGGTCTCAACACAACCCCTCCCACAGGGGGGATGTGGGTGCCCAGCAAACCAATCACAGATGGAGGAGTGCTGGTTCCTAGGCGGATGGGACCCCACCCTACGCAACCCCCAGCCTGGGCTGGTCTGCTCCCCACAGGTTCATCAAGAAACAGGGCCTGGACCGGCTCTTCCATGAATGTGACTCGCACATGTGGCGCCTGGGCGAACGGCAGATCCCGGCGGGCATCGTGGTGGACGGCGGCTCCGACTGGTTCGTGCTGACGCGCAGTTTCGTGGAGTACGTGGTGTACACGGACGACCCGCTCGTGGCCCAGCTGCGCCAGTTCTACACCTACACGCTGCTCCCAGCCGAGGTGGGTGGCCCGACCCTGACCCAGGCTGGGGAGGGCGCATGGTGGGGTGCCCGCCGCTCACCGCCCGCCCTGCCCTGCCCTGCCCCCTGCAGTCCTTCTTCCACACGGTGCTGGAGAACAGCCCGGCCTGCGAGAGCCTCGTGGACAACAACCTGCGGGTCACCAACTGGAACCGCAAGCTGGGCTGCAAGTGCCAGTACAAGCACATCGTGGACTGGTGCGGCTGCTCCCCCAACGACTTCAAGCCGCAGGACTTCCTCCGGCTGCAGGTGCTCCCCCGGTCCCAGTCGCTGCCCCTTGCTAGGGCCTCGCCCCGGCCTTTCGCCAGGTCAGAAAGGACTCAGGGTGGGCCAATCAGAGGAGCTAGGGCCTTCACCGGGAGCTGCCCTCGGGGCTCTGGGGTGACTGTGGCCAATCTGGGATGCTGGAGGGGGCCCCTGGGGCCTCCAGACCCCTTACCATGCTGGCTCTCCCCCTCCAGCAAGTCTCTAGGCCCACCTTCTTCGCCCGGAAGTTTGAGTCCACTGTGAACCAGGAGGTCCTGGAAATTCTGGACTTCCACCTGTATGGCAGCTACCCGCCCGGCACGCCAGCCCTCAAGGCCTACTGGGAGAACACCTATGACGCGACCGATGGCCCCAGCGGGCTCAGTGATGTCATGCTCACCGCTTACACCGCCTTTGTCCGCCTCAGCCTACGCCATGCCGTCACTACTGCGCCCGCGCCGGCCACCCCTCTCTGCAGGTGAGACCTTCTTCTGACATATTGCAGGCCCTCAGGGTGTGGTGACTTAGGGGGAAGCCAATCAGAAAGAGACAGCCCCTGCTCCCAGGGAGCCCCAGTCTCAGGCAGGGGGAAATGCAACAAAAACACAGCACATAGGTGCTGTGGGTGTGAGATTTGGGGCAAAGGAAGTACCTGGGAATGGGAGTCCCCAGAGCCCCCTCCCTGGGACTCCAGACCACGTTGGATATGCTGATGGCATCTCCCTTTCTCCCTGCTGGAACCTTCTTAGGTTTGAGCCCAGGGGCTTGCCGTCCAGCGTGCACCTGTATTTCTATGACGACCATTTCCAGGGCTACCTGGTGACGCAGGAGGTGCAGTCCTCAGCGGAGGGGCCGGCAGAGACGCTTGAGATGTGGCTGATGCCCCAGGGGTCGCTGAAGCTGTTGGGGCGCAGTGACCAGGCCAGCCGGCTCCAGAGTTTGGAGGTGCGACATCTGACCCCCAGCAAGACTCAGGGTAGCGGGAAGAGAGGGACAGACACTGAGAGAGGGGCAAGGACTGGGTTAGGCCTTTCAGGACTGGGTTCATGGGCCCTTCTTACCCAGTGACGGCAGCTTTGGCGGCGCCTCGTGCACATGCCTGGCCCCCACCCTCCCCCCGCATGCACACATGGAGGAGCAGGGCCCCCTGGGGTGACACACAGAGAGGGGACTAGTTACGCTGTAATGCAAACTCATCTTCTAAACTGCCAGGGCTTTCTTCTAGATCGGTGGTTTTCAACCGGTGGGTCGCGACCCCTTTGGGGGTCGAACGACCCTTTCACAGGGGTCGCCTAAGACCATCGGAAAACACATATATAATTACATATTGTTTTTGTGATTAATCACTATGCTTTAATTATGTTCAATTTGTAACAATGAAAATACATCCTGCATATCAGATATTTACATTACGATTCATAACAGGGGGGTCACCCAACATGAAGAACTGTATTAAAGGGTCGCGGCATTAGGAAGGTTGAGAACCACTGTAGGGACTTGGACATTCCCTTCAGGCCATAGGTGAGGCCGTTCAGTGTCTCTCATTCTCTTCCTCGGAGACCTTGGCTTCCTGTGGGGTGGTCTGCGGGCAGGGCCTGGAACCTTGTCTGCCTTCCTGCCCCGCCATTGCAGAGCAGGTTGGAATGCGAGCCTAGAAAGAAGTCTAGTCCAAGACCTTCATTTTGCAGATGGGGAAACTGGGACCCGGAAGGAGACAGTGACTAGCTCGAGGTCACACAGTGCGTTAGAGGCAGCATCAGAGCAGAGAGAAGGACTTTTCCCCAGGCTCCTGCCCATCTGCCTCCCTCCTTACAGGTTGGCACTGAGTGGGACCCCAAAGAGCGTCTTTTCCGGAACTTCGGGGGGTTGCTGGGACCATTGGATGAGCCTGTGGCCATGCAGCGCTGGGCCCGGGGCCCCAACCTCACAGCCACCGTGGTGTGGATCGACCCCACCTACGTGGTGGCCACGTCTTACGACATCGTGGTCGACGCAGAGACCGAGGTCACTCAGTACAAGCCCCCACTGAGCCGGCCCCTGCGGCCGGGGGCCTGGACGGTTCGACTGCTTCAGTTTTGGGAACCCGTAGGGGAGACCCGCTTCCTCGTGCTGCCCTTGACCTTCAACCGCAAACTACCTCTCAGGAAAGGTAAGGACCTAGTTCCCAGATGTGCCCAGAGGCCAGGGAGGTGACCCCAGGAAGCTGACCGTCAGAGCTAAGCCCCCATAGCCAGAGAAGGGAAGGGGGAAGGCTGGGAACTTGATGGTCTGGCCCTTAGCATCCTGGGGCTCTGCCGTGGCATGAAAGGGGAGCTGTGGAGTCAGGTAGGCTTGGCTTTGGAACAGCTCTGACACTTTAATTGGGCTTTTAGCCTTGGCCATCTATTTCCTAAGCCTCAGTCTTATTACGTGTAAAGTGGGAGCTAATGTAACTATCGGAGCGCTCCCCATGACTCCACTCAAACTAGCTTGTATGAAAAAGGGGGTTATTGGAAGAATGCAGGCTGTGCCCCAAGGCCCCAGGAAATGTCTCAGATCTCACAGGGCGTCAGAGGTGCTTTCTCAGATGCTCTGGGGCCTCTTGCCCTTCTCTCTGTGTTAGCCTCCGGCGTGGATTCCCGATACATGACACATGGCCTCTCAGGGCAACAGAGACTGACCAGGGCCTCTTGGTCCCCAGGTGTCACATTCTTGGGACAGCATATCTGTGCCCGGTGGGCAGGGTCCCATAGCTCTCCACCCATTTGGCTGAGGTTAAGGGAGCAGACCCTGAACACAGGTATAGGATGCAGGTTCCCCAGGGGGGCAGGGGGGGGGGATCTAGGGGGAGGTATGTCTCCCAAGTAACTAGTCCCTAGGAGACATTCGGGATGAGTATGTGGTAAACGTGTCAGGTATGAATAGGTGGTAGATGTTTCCTTCCTCTGGCCACATCCTGTCATAGAGAAGGTGGATCAGACTGGGGGTAACCCAGAGGAGGATGGAGTAGTGGGGGCTGTGGCAGATCCAGAGCAGGCAGCCGCACCCCTGCTTTCCTAGGACTCAGCCTGACAGGGGCTGAGGGAGGAATGGAGGCAGCCCCACAGCAGGCAGGTATAGGAGCCGAGCGCTGAGCAGGCTGGATTTTTATAGACAGAGGGTGTTCTAAGCGGAGGGAGCACAGTTGGCAGGTGTCCGGGGCATGGGGGAAGCAGAGTGGAGGGCAGTGGGATGCAGGAGTGGCAGGAAAGAAGGCTGGCGAAGCAGGGCCCCACAGCTGGAGGGCCTGGGCATGAGGCTTCCGACGGCTCTGGGAACCACTGGAGATGGTTGAGAAGGGGCGGGAAAGTTACCTTATTTTCTAATGTGCTTCGAACCTACTGTTTTACTGAATCCTCCAGTGGGGAATTCAGCGGTGACTGTCTTGATTTTATAAACTGATGGTTCCACAGGCACAGAAAGTCCTGGGGATTAGCCCAGGGCACTCGGCAAGGTGTGACTCAGTAGCAGACCTGGGACAGAACTGGGGTGCCCAGGCCTGACTTCCCAGGTCTGGCCTTCATGGAATCAGTGGGGCCAGCGTGCTGACTGCGTGCTCTTGCACCCCCAGATGAAGCCAGCTGGCTGCATGCCGGGCCCCCCCACAACGAGTACATGGAGCAGAGTTTCCAGGGCCTGAGTGGCATCCTGAGCCTGCCTCAGCCGGAGCCCGCCGAGGAGGCCGCCCGGCGGCACGCCTTGCTCACGGGCCCGGCGCTCGAGGCCTGGACAGATGGGGAACTGAGTGGCTTCTGGTCTGTGGCTGGACTGTGCGCCACGGGCCCCTCCGCCTGCCCCTCCCTGGAGCTCTGCAGACGGACCAGCTGGAGCTCTCTGTTCCCCGACCCCAAATCGGAGCTGGGGCCTGTCAAAGCCGACGGGCGACTCAGGTAGCAGGGCCCAGCCAGCACCTCCAGAACACCGGGGAATTGCACCTTACAGACAATGGAGGGCTGTCCCCCCACACACAAGGACCAGAGGCCCAGGCAACACACCCGTGACAGCCATCAAGAACCCGCAAGGAACATGGGCGTAGTCCTTACTACTGCTGATGGCTCTGCTGGGGACCAGCGGGTGGCAGAAATGTGGGGAGAAGGGCTCCAGTTTCCACGCCCCACGCTTCCAATCCTTCTCCACTAGTTTTTTTTTTTTTAAAGGAAAATGGGTGGTGGGGGAGGAACTGGAAACAAAAGATGTGCAATAGGGCTCAGAGGAGCCCCAGGAAGTGGGCCATGGCTCTGGGGAGCAGGGCCTGATGAGCCCATCTGCTGTTGCTCTGGGGGTGGGGCCTGCCTCCCTCTCCAGGGCCTCGCCCCCAGCCTGGGCCTTGGCGCTCATGGCTGAGGCTCTGTAAGTGCCATCCCAGGCCCCAACGACCTGAGAACAGGTGATTTGGGGGAGCACTGCAGAGCTGGACTCGAGTGGGACAGCCTCTCCTCTCGTGGCCAGGGGACCGCAGTGAGGGGCTGGGGCAGGCTCTAGGGCTTCCCAGCATGCCCTGCTCCTTGATGGGAAAGGCAAGACACCAGGGCCTACTGAGACCAGTGCAGTCTCCCAGGCACCCAGAACTGCAAGCAGGGCCGGGGCTCCTGCCTGTGGGGCGAGCCCTCGCGAGCAGCGTGGGAAGAACTCTTGGCCAGGGCTCTCAGAAGAGCCTGGAGCAGCATTGTGCCTGAAGCTCAGTGTGGAGTCTGATATATGCAACAGAAGAAATATATCTCTATCTCTCTAAGCCGAGCCTCTGTGTTTTTCCTCCGGGCGTCGGAAGCCGTCACCCTTAGGCCTTCTCCTCCTACAAGTCTCGGCTGACACTTTGGCAGCCAGGAGGTGGAGGTCTCATTCCAGAATGGCGACAGCTTAGAATCTACCCAAGAACCAGAAGGGATGCAAAAACCCATCTAATTCAGCTCTGTCTTTTTCGGAGGGGTGAAGAGACTTCATTGCCTCCCAGGAGGCCTGCCGGAGAGCCTGTTCAGTTCCTGAGAGTCCTGACCCAGCACCTCCTCCCCTGCCGCCAGGCCAAGGCAGATGCTGCTGCTCTGGTGTCTCCAGGGCTCATCCCAGAAGCCCTCCTCACTCTGCTTCCTGCCCAGTCCTGAGTATGGAGCGCCCTCAAGAACAGAGGGTCACGGCCATGGCCCACCGGCTCCCTTCAGAGCTAACCCCTTGAGGGCCATGATGGGAAGGGTCATCAGCTTCCCTCCTCTCCTGCCATTGTTAGCAGGGGCTCTCAGAAGCAGTCCTTCACCTTACTTCACGTGGGGGTGAGGGTGAAGGGTTCTTAGCCTTTATCAGCCAGTCACGCTCGCCTGGTCAGCTCAGCCTGCCCTGGCTGCCGCATGTGAAGTTTGATCCCTTGAGGGCCATGGTGGGAAGGGTCATCAGCTTCCCTCCTCCTCTCCTGCCATTGTTAGCAGGGGCTCTCAGTAGCAGTCCTTCACCTTACTTCACGTGGGGGTGAGGGTGAAGGGTTCTTAGCCTTTATCAGCCAGTCACGCTCGCCTGGTCAGCTCAGCCTGCCCTGGCTGCCGCATGTGAAGTTTTCCTAGTGGCCAGGAGAGGGCACCCCTGACCACCAATAAGGGCATTGGGTTTTTCCATTTGTTTAGCCACTGTGCTGACCCCTGTGTGCAGTATCTCGTTAAATCCTCAGAATCCTTTGAGGCAGGCTTTTCTTACCTTCATTTAGCACATCCAGAAACTGAAATGATGAGCCCAAAGTCACAACCATTAGGTGGTGGCAGCAGGTTTCAGATGGAGCAGGCCTCCTGTCACTCTGTCACTACATTCTGCTAAGGGCAGGGACCTAACAGCAAGAACTCTAAGAAAATAGTGTTTGGGTTTAGGGGCTAAGATAACTGTTTTCTTCTGGCCCCTACTTTAGTGAACATTGGGAAGCTCTACTCCCGTTCTCTAGAATATTTTTCACATCAAATCTTAGGTAAATAAAAAGAAAAACTGAGGTCAGCACATTTGACCCAGGTAGTAAGTATCAGAACATTCAGACTGCTTGCTAAGGACTCGGACCAGCCTGCGAGTTTGACCCGGGCTGTGGCTCTGCTACTGTCAGGCTAGTGCAGGTTCTCAGTCTTACTGTGTGAGCTTGGGTGGGACACATGCCCCTGGTTCAGTCCCTGCCACTCTCACTGACACACCAGGTCCTCGTTACTCATTACTGTCACCTGCTGAACATCTTGCCTTTGCACTTTTAGTCCAGTGGATCGTGATCCTCACCAAAGGCTCTGAATTAATTGGCCTCAAGTGGGAACCCAACTACGACCAGGATGTCTGGGTTCAAAGCTCCCACAGGTGATTCTAACTTGCACACCTGCGTGAAGGACAAGTCCAGCCCCACCCCCATCGCTCTGGCGGCAAGTCTTGGCCCCATGAGTAGAATCACTGCAGACCAGGGACCAGGCTCCGCTGATTCCTGACAGACTCAGAGGACAGGCTTGGGGGTGAAGGCCCTCCTCTCCCGTCCTCTCCCCCATCCAGGTCAGTGCAGCTTCTCTGCCGACAGTGTTCCTCACCCCATCTTTCTGTAGGGTTAGCTCAGTCTAGGGGCTTGGGCTTGTCGAGGCTTCTTTGAAATCCTTCCCTGGGGTCAAGATCAGGATTCTCGTCAGGCAGTGGGGTAGTGGTGGGGGTGGGGGCTGGCTGGGGAAGGCAGGGGCCCGGGCGCTGCACAATTCCTTTGGAGGGAGAGCCAGGGCTTTTGTATTCTGTGACCTGCATGCCCAGTTTCCAGGCAACCACAGACATCTAGGTTTCAGTTGTGGTGGAAGCCAAGACCAGAGGATAGCCGATTGGCATTCAGAGCCCAGTTACCTGGGTCAATGGGAAGTGGGGTGGGGCAAAGTCAGCTGGGAGGGAATCTGGGAGTGCCAAGTGCAGAGATCCTGGCTGGCTGTGAAGCTCAACAGAAACCAAACCTAAGTCCTGAGCTTCACTTTGAGTCGTCCTTCATGATCCCCAGGACGGCTCCCCTCCCTGCTTCAGCACCATGGGACGCCGCACTGAGGTCCAGGCAGTGGACAGGTGCCAAGAGTCCTGGGGCCATCTCTGGAGTGCTTCCTCTGCTGGCCCCTCCTACCTGCTCTTCCCAGGGCCCAGCCCAACTTCTGTGGGATGCAGGAGGGGAAGGAGCAGTGACACCCTCAAGCACAAGCTCTCCCCTTCCTTCCCCTCTGGGGGATGGACTAAAACAATCCCCTCCTCAAAGAAAGTCCCCTCTTGCTCAAGCTCCTCTTTCCTGCTGGAGGTTCCCCCTGGGTGTGCACTAGAGAACATGCAAAAAGACCAACAAATCAATAAGCAGCTCCATCCAGGTTGTCCCCAAATACACAGACTCACGACTCCAACTAACTTTATTCTTGCCCCAGGTCAGGTCTCCAAAGTCACTTCACAGACTTCTTCCTCAGGAAGCCTTGTCACCCCAACCTTTGACTCTGGTACCACCCGCTCCTGTCACCTGGGCTCCAGTCTCAGTCCAACAGCCTCGACCAGGAGCTCAAAGCATAGCGACCAGTTTGAAGGTGCCCTCAGGCTTGGCAGGAACCACGTGGACAAAAGTCTTATAGAGCACAGCGCCCTTGGGCAGCCTGGTGACCAGATCCACAGCCTCCGAGTTGTTGGGGTTGGGCACGTAGACCTCCTTCGTGTAGCGGACGATCCCCTCCTCCAGGGCATACAGACACTTCCTCTTCCCCAGCCCCACCTGCAACACACAGACCTGCTCAGCTACAGGGAAAGCCAGGTAGGTGGGAAAGGGACCCTAGGAGCTACTCATGTCTGCGCAGCTGGCCAGAAGCCACACTGGCCAGATCCCAAAACAGGCCAGGAAAATGCCCCTACTCACTGCCCCTGGGAACTTGTTTCACTTAGACTTCAAAAACACTTAAACACTAGTCTGACATACATTTTCATTTATACAGTGACCTGTCAAGTGTAGGCTTTAACGAAACAACAGACCAAAGCTAGATGGACAATGTATATGCTAATAAAACATAATGATATTAGGTAATACTTAATATAGTGCTTACCAAGTATAAGCACTGTTCCAAGCCCTTTTACAATGGCTGATTCCGCAAGGAATCGGTCTCCCTCCTCCCTCCTGTCTGGGTGAACCAGATTCGGGGCTGTCAGGGCCCCAGCAGCAAGGTCTGGGTCAGTGTGCGTCATAGCTACTGGCTGGTCGTCTGGTCATTCTGGTTGTTTCAGTTGTTTGGTTGTAATGGTCACTTAGGCTTTTATATATATAGATAATAATTAAGCCCTTTTATAGCCATCAACCCATTTAGTTCTCACCTTGTTTAGTAGGTATTATTTCTGTTTTTCAGGTAAGTACGTCAAACAGTGATTAAATAAACTGTGTGTTGTACTTAGTTTTTTAACATTATATATTTTAACTTTTTTCTTAGAACTTGAGATTGGATGTGTGACAATTTTCACCCAGGCAGTCCAGCATTGCTTATTATTTCTCTGCTTAAAAGAAAGGACTCTGGAGTCAGGATGCTTCGTTCAGATCCCAGCACTACTACTTGTTATGTTTGATCTGGGCAAGTTACTTTACTTCAGAGTCTCATTTTTTTATCTACAAAATTGGGCTAATATTAACTACTTTATAAGGTTACCCTGAGGATTAAATGAATTAACAATCATAAAGAGTTTAGAATACTTAGAATACCCTAGCTCAGTGGTCGGCAAACTGCAGCTCCGCAAACTGTGGCATGCGAGCCACATGCGGCTCTTTGGCACCTTGAGTGTGGGCAAAATGGGGCTAATATTAACTACTTTATAAGGTTACCCAGAGGATTAAATGAATTAACAATCATAAAGAGCTTAGAATAGTTAGAATACCCTAGCTCAGTGGTCGGCAAACTGTGGCACGCGAGCCACATGCAGCTCTTTGGCACCTTGAGTGTGGCTCTTCCACAAAATACTGACTTCTGCGCATGGGCCACGAAGTTTCAATCACACTGTACATGAGCGCTCGCACGTGGTATTTTGTGGTATTTTGTGGAAGAGCCACACTCAAGGGGTCAAAGAGCCGCATGTGGCTCACGAGCTGCAGTTTGCCAACCACAGCCCTAGCTCAAAATATGTTGGCTCTTATTATTGTCATTATTTTAGCAAGTCCCAAGAGTTAACATAGCAACACAGTCTTAAGTTTTAAAATATAAAGCTACACAAATACAATCAATTCACATATGCATTAATATTTCTGAAATAACTATAGGTTACTATCAGTCCTTCTGTTCCTACTAAAATTGCTCAAAAAGGGGTGGGGTGTGGGGGCATTGATTAACAAGGAAACTAATTTTTTAATTGATTTGAGAGAGAGAAACATTAATGTGAGAGAGAAACATCAATCAGTTGCCTTTCACATGTGCCCTGTCCTGATATCAAACCCGCCACCTTTTGCTGTATGGGATGACATTCCAACCAACTGAGCCACACTGACCAGGGCTAAACTAATTTTAAAATAATGTGGAGGGAAAAGAAAAATAAATAAACAAACAAACAGCATAAATAAATAGAAAAATAAAATGTGAAGAGTACAGTACAGACCTGTGTTACCCAAGAAATTTCCTACCTCAGAAAGTAATCTTAACTTGTTGAACTGAAATCCCTGCTTGATATGGACCTAATTTCTGATATACACATTCAATTCTATTGTACTAAATTCAAGCTCTCTTTCAGCTACCTAGTAACAGCTTTATGCAAAGAAGG